AGATGTCCACAGGGACAGATGTCTACAGGGACAGGTGTCCACAGGGACAGATATGCACAGGGACAGATGTCAACAGGGACAGATGTCCACAGGGACAGATGTCTACAGGGACAGGTGTCCACAGGGACAGATATGCACAGGGACAGATGTCAACAGGGACAGATGTCCACAGGGACAGATGTCTACAGGGACAGGTGTCCACAGGGACAGATATGCACAGGGACAGATGTCAACAGGGACAGATGTCCACAGGGACAGATGTCTACAGGGACAGGTGTCCACAGGGACAGATATGCACAGGGACAGATGTCAACAGGGACAGATGTCCACAGGGACAGATGTCTACAGGGACAGGTGTCCACAGGGACAGATATGCACAGGGACATGTGTCCACAGGGACAGATATGCACAGGGACAGATGTCAACAGGGACAGATGTCCACAGGGACAGATGTCTACAGGGACAGGTGTCCACAGGGACAGATATGCACAGGGACATGTGTCCACAGGGACAGATATGCACAGGGACAGATGTCAACAGGGACAGATGTCCACAGGGACAGGTGTCCACAGGGACAGGTGTCCACATGGACATGTGTCCACAGGGACAGATATGCACAGGGACAGTTGTCCACAGGGACAGATGTCTACAGGGACAGGTGTCCACAGTGACAGATGTCCACAGGGACGTGTCCACAGTGACAGATGTCCACAGGGACAGGTGTAAACAGTGACAGATGTCCACAGGGACAGGTGTCCACAGTGACAGGTGTCCACAGGGACAGTTGTCCACAGGGACAGGTGTCCACAGGGACATGTGTCCACAGGGACAGATGTCTACATGGACAGATGTCCACAGGGACATGTGTCCACAGGGACAGATATGCACAGGGACAGGTGTCCACAGGGACAGGTGTCCACAGGGACAGATGTCCACAGGGACAGGTGTCCACAGGGACATGTGTCCACAGGGACATGTGTCCACTGTGACAGGTGTCCACAGGGACAGGTGTCCACAGGGACATGTGTCCACAGGGACAGGTGTCCACAGGGACATGTGTCCACAGGGACATGTGTCCACAGGGACAGGTGTCCACAAGGACATGTGTCCACAGGGACATGTGTCCACAGGGACAGATGTCCACAGGGACATGTGTCCACAAGGACAGATGTCCACAGGGACAGGTATCCACAGGGACATGTGTCCACAAGGACATGTGTCCACAAGGACAGATGTCCACAGGGACAGGTGTCCACAGGGACATGTGTCCACAAGGACAGATGTCCACAGGGACAGATTTCCACAGGGACATGTGTCCACAAGGACAGATGTCCACAGGGACAGGTATCCACAAGGACATGTGTCCATGTGTCCACAAGGACATGTGTCCACAGGGACATGTGTCCACAGGGACATGTGTCCACAGGGACAGATGTCTACAGGGACAGATGTCCACAGGGACATGTGTCCACAGGGACATGTGTCCATGTGTCCACAAGGACATGTGTCCACAGGGATATGTGTCCACAGGGACATGTGTCCACAGGGACAGATGTCTCTGTGTTCTGGACAGCAGACTTGTGTTTGCAGAGGGAACTTTCTTCAGGTCTCATGTCCCCGTGTCCTGTCGTCTCGTGTCCCACATGCTGAGGTCCTTCCAGGTGGAAACGCTCATTAGGATTCATGTGGTGGATCAGAACTCTCAGGGTTTTGTTCCTCTCGAGTCTCACAGGATGACGAGCAGAGTCTGGGACAAATCCAGTCAGAGAGAACACAAAGAGTTTACAGGAAGTGGAGCTGGGCTGTATTAAAGACTGACATGGAAGTCAAAGCAGCAGCACGCAGAGAGGCAAACATCACAGAAAGAGCAGGAAGAAGCTGAGCAGATCTTAAAAAGGACGTTTAAAGCAGGAACTGAGTGAAAAGAAATGACAATAAAAACGAGGGTTTTCAGCGTTTGTAAAGAAGAAGACAGGCAGACGAGGAGCAGGATGATCATCTGGTGACGCCAACAAAAGGCAAGGACAAAAAGCGGTGAAGGGGAACGTCGACGTGAGCACATCAGTACTGAAACACCAGGAAGTGGAGAACAGGAGTCTGATGTGACGAGGAAGATGAAGGGCAATGAAGGACAGAAAGTTGGGAGGACACACAAGTCAGAGAAACTTCTAGAAACACATCAGAAGATCGATCCAGACAGCTATAAAATTAAAAACTGCTTGGTTCTGTAGAGACAGAGGCTCCGCCCCTTTACCCACCTGCTCAAATACAGGACAAGGTGGGCGGAGTTTACCTCCCTCAGTTTTATTTTATTATTTATCTATTTTTTTGTTTTATATGAAATAATATTTATTTATTAAGAGTTTGCTTCTTCACCACAACAGACCGGATGAACGTCCTCATTACTACAGCAGGACCTGACCTGTTGATCCATCCTTCTGGACTTTACTCAACAACAGTCAGTAATTCTGAGGGTTAGTGAGTATTACAGGTGGATTCATGTATTTTTATTTAATTTATTTAGTTTTTACTGTTTCGGTCAATCAGCTGATCTGTTCCTCCTCATTTAGCTCTTCATCGTCACTTTTTCACACTTTTCACTGACAGGAAAGAAGCAAATGTTTTTTTAACCACCGTCAGGTTCTGCTGCCAGCGTCCCCCCTCCCTGACTGAAATCAGTTATTCATCAGGGTGTCAGGTGGCCTACTTACCTCTGTTTGACCCCCCAGCAGAGACGCCTGGAGACCTCCAGACCACAGGGGGTCAGGAGGAGGTCCAAGGACCAGCCCAGTCTGGATCCTTCTGCAGGGAAACATCTACACAAACATCTACACAAACATCTACACAAACATCTGCACACTAATCTAAACAAATAGCTACACATGAATCAACACAAACATCCACACACTAAACAAACATCTACACATGAATCTACAAATCTTCTCTCTGTGGAACTGAAGAAGCTTTCAGCCTAAGTCAGTCAGACAGGAAGTGAACTCTGAGTTAGTAAAATAAAATAAACTAAAGTGAGTTTGAAGCATCGACTTGTGGAGATCAAACCTCTTCTGTAAACATGACACAAACAACAAACCAGTTTTATTCTGCAGAATGTCTCACTGATTTCCTGATTATTAAAACTTCTTTAGTTAAACCAGTTAATTAAACTTTCTCCATATTTCGCTAACAGAGCTCTTCCCTCTCAGACTGCAGGTTTACTCATGGTTCCTACAGTTTCAGTTTTCAGACTCGTGGTTCCTACAGTTTCAGTTCTCAGTCTCGTGGTTCCTACAGTTTCACTTCTCAGACTCGTGGTTGCTACAGTTTCAGTTTTCAGACTCATGGTTCCTACAGTTTCAGTTTTCAGACTCGTGGTTCCTACAGTTTCAGTTTTCAGACTCATGGTTCCTACAGTTTCACTTCTCAGACTCGTGGTTGCTACAGTTTCAGTTTTCAGACTCATGGTTCCTACAGTTTCAGTTCTCAGACTCGTGGTTGCTACAGTTTCAGTTTTCAGACTCGTGGTTTCTACAGTTTCAGTTCTCAGACTTGTGGTTCCTACAGTTTCAGTTCTCAGACTCGTGGTTCCTACAGTTTCAGTTTTCAGACTCGTGGTTGCTACAGTTTCAGTTTTCAGACTCGTGGTTCCTACAGTTTCAGTTCTCAGACTCATGGTTCCTACAGTTTCACTTCTCAGA